GGGTGGGCTTAGAGGGGAGGGAAAGGGGACAGTGGGGTGGGCTAAGGGGGGGAGGGAAAGGGGACAGAGGGGTGGGCCAAGGGGGGGGGGGGGGGAAGGGGACAGAGGGGTGGGCCAAGGGGGGGGGGAGGGAAAGGGGACAGTGGGGTGGGCTAAGGGGAAGGGGACAGGGGTGGGCTAAGGGGGGAGGGAGGGAAAGAGGACAGAGGGGTGGGCCAAGGGGGGAGGGAAAGGGGACAGAGGGGTGGGCTAAGGGGGGGGGAGGGAAAGAGGACAGAAGGGTGGGCCAAGGGGGGGAGGGAAAGGGGACAGAGGGGTGGGCCAAGGGGGGGGGGGGAGGGAAAGGGGACAGAGGGGTGGGCCAAGGGGGGGAGGGAAAGGGGACAGAGGGGTGGGCCAAGGGGGGGAGGGAAAGGGGACAGAGGGGTGGGCTAAGGGGGGGGAGGGAAAGTGGACAGTGGGGTGGGCTAAGGGGGGGAGGGAAAGGGGACAGTGGGGTGGGCTAAGGGGGGGAGGGAAAGTGGACAGAGGGGTGGGCTAAGGGGGGGGGGAGGGGACAGTGGGGTGGGCTAAGGGGGGGAGGGAAAGTGGACAGAGGGGTGGGCTAAGGGGGGGGGGGGGGAAGGGGACAGTGGGGTGGGCTAAGGGGGGGGGGGAGGGAAAGGGGACAGTGGGGTGGGCTAAGGGGGGGGGGAAAGGGGACAGTGGGGTGGGCCAAGGGGGGGGGGGAGGGAAAGGGGACAGTGGGGTGGGCCAAGGGGGGGAGGGAAAGGGGACAGTGGGGTGGGCCAAGGGGGGGAGGGAAAGGGGACAGTGGGGTGGGCTTAGAGGGGAGGGAAAGGGGACAGTGGGGTGGGCTAAGGGGGGGAGGGAAAGTGGACAGAGGGGTGGGCTAAGGGGGGGGGGAAGGGGACAGTGGGGTGGGCTAAGGGGGGGGAGGGAAAGGGGACAGAGGGGTGGGCTAAGGGGGGGAGGGAAAGTGGACAGAGGGGTGGGCTAAGGGGGGGGGGAAGGGGACAGTGGGGTGGGCTAAGGGGGGGGGGAGGGAAAGGGGACAGTGGGGTGGGCTAAGGGGGGGGGAGGGAAAGGGGACAGTGGGGTGGGCTAAGGGGGGGGGGAGGGAAGGGGACAGTGGGGTTGGCTAAGGGGGGGAAGGGAAAGGGGACAGTGGGGTGGGCTAAGGGGGGGGAGGGAAAGGGGACAGAGGGGTGGGCTAAGGGTGGGGAGGGAAAGGGGACAGTGGGGTGGGCTAAGGGGGGGGAGGGAAAGGGGACAGTGGGGTGGGCTTAGGGGGGAGGGAAAGGGGACAGTGGGGTGGGCTAAGGGGGGGGGGAGGGAAAGGGGACAGAGGGGTGGGCTAAGGGGGGGGGGAGGGAAAGGGGACAGAGGGGTGGGCTAAGGGGGGGAGGGAAAGGGGACAGAGGGGTGGGCTAAGGGGGGGGAGGGAAAGGGGACAGAGGGGTGGGCTAAGGGGGGGGGAAGGGGACAGTGGGGTGGGCTAAGGGGGGAGGGAAAGGGGACAGAGGGGTGGGCCAAGGGGGGAGGGAAAGGGGACAGAGGGGTGGGCCAAGGGGGGGGAGGGAAAGGGGGCAGAGGGGTGGGCTAAGGGGGGAGGGAAAGGGGACAGAGGGGTGGGCTAAGGGGGGGGAGGGAAAGGGGACAGAGGGGTGGGCTAAGGGGGGGGGGGGAAGGGGACAGTGGGGTGGGCTAAGGGGGGAGGGAAAGGGGACAGAGGGGTGGGCCAAGGGGGGAGGGAAAGGGGACAGAGGGGTGGGCCAAGGGGGGGGGAGGGAAAGGGGGCAGAGGGGTGGGCTAAGGGGGGAGGGAAAGGGGACAGTGGGGTGGGCCAAGGGGGGAGGGAAAGGGGACAGTGGGGTGGGCTAAGGGGGGGAGGGAAAGGGGACAGTGGGGTGGGCTAAGGGGAGGGGGTGGGCTAAGGGGGGAGGGAGGGAAAGGGGACAGAGGGGTGGGCTAGGGGAAGGGGACAGGGGTGGGCTAAGGGGGGAGGGAGGGAAAGGGGACAGAGGGGTGGGCCAAGGGGGGAGGGAAAGGGGACAGTGGGGTGGGCCAAGGGGGGGGAGGGAAAGGGGACAGAGGGGTGGGCTAAGGGGGGGGGAGGGAAAGGGGACAGAGGGGTGGGCTTAGAGGGGAGGGAAAGGGGACAGAGGGGTGGGCTAAGGGGGGGGGGGGGGGGAAAGGTGACAGTGGGGTGGGCTAAGGGGGGAGGGAAAGGGGACAGAGGGGTGGGCCAAGGGGGGGGGGGGGGGGGGAAAGTGGACAGAGGGGTGGGCTAAGGGGGGGGGGGGAAGGGGACAGTGGGGTGGGCTAAGGGGGGGGGGAGGGAAAGGGGACAGTGGGGTGGGCTTAGAGGGGAGGGAAAGGGGACAGAGAGGAGGGCCAAGGGGGGGGAGGGAAAGGGGACAGTGGGGTGGGCTAAGGGGGGGAGGGAAAGGGGACAGTGGGGTGGGCTAAGGGGGGGGGGGGAGGGAAAGGGGACAGAGGGGTGGGCTAAGGGGGGGAGGGAAAGGGGACAGAGGGGTGGGCTAAGGGGGGGGGGGGGGGGGAGGGAAAGGGGACAGAGGCGTGGGCTAAGGAGGGGGGAAGGGGACAGTGGGGTGGGCTAAGGGTGGGGAGGGAAAGGGGACAGAGGGGTGGGCTAAGGGGGGGAGGGAGGAGGGAAAGGGGACAGTGGGGTGGGCCAAGGGGGGGGGGGGGAAGGGGACAGTGGGGTGGGCTAAGGGGGGGGAGGGAAAGGGCAGTGGGGTGGGCTAAGGGGGGGGGAGGGAAAGGGGACAGTGGGGTGGGCTAAGGGGGGGGGGAGGGAAAGGGGACAGTGGGGTGGGCTAAGGGGGGGGGGGGGAAAGGGGACAGTGGGGTGGGCTAAGGTGGGGGGGAGGGAAAGGGGACAGTGGGGTGGGCTAAGGGGAAGGGAAAGGGGACAGTGGGGTGGGCTAAGGGGGGGGAGGGAAAGGGGACAGAGGGGTGGGCTAAGGGAGGAAGGGTACAGAGGGGGCTAATTATAATTTATTTTGAGTTGGTTTTACAAGGGCATTTAGCAGGATAGCTGTTATGATTGTTACATTTATCTGTTAAGGATGTTATTTGTAGCATTCCCTTTATGTAAAACTAGTACACAAATACCTCACTGGGGTTGGAGAGTAGGTACAGAAGAAAGAAGCCTTTGATCAGTGTTATTAAGTTATTGATCATTTGTTACTTTATCAAAGTGCAATAGTTTCATGTTGTGCAATGCAGTTGTTCAATGCTCAGGACAATCCACTGCATGAAACTCATATCACAACTATAAATCTTGTAAGTTTTGATTAGGCGGTGGTTTTTCTTGATAACCCTTTGATTAATTTTCATGCAATAAAAGTAATCATTTCTTAATCTAACCTGTGTTTGTCCACATTTATTCACAGACTAAACAATTTGTTGTTTTTCTCATCTTTTAATGTCATTGTTTTTACAACAAAATATTTTACAACAGAAACAATAGCAGTATTTATAAATATGTAAGTTACAAAAAAAACATCAACAAAAGTATATTAGACCTAGCAGGTTTTATATATAGTAAAACAAAAAATAAACTCTGCAGCTAATATAGTTAGCCAAGAGTACTATAAAAATAAGCTTAGAAATTTGTATATTTTTCTAACATGTTTCAAACTTAAATACAAAAACATTTCCATATATGATTATTGTTGAAAACTGAATTTTTTTTAAAAAAAGATTACAAGAAATTTAAAGAAATAAATAATGTAAAAATAAATAAATAATATGAACATCACATGTTGGTAAACAATTTAAATATTCACATAATGCAAGATTTATTCTGTGAGCAGTATGCCTCAGGTTGTTTTGTTTAGTATGAAGGCAATACATATGGAATGTGGTGGGAAATTTCAATATTTGGTGCAGTAGATGTATTTTATCAGACCTTTTCAAGGGTTGAATACGTTTGTGTCAGTTAATTGAACTTGTTTTTCTAAACCATGTTTTTATGCATGATAAAATGTCATCTTTTTTTACAAATACAGTACTGTTAGATAAGATAAGAATGTTTAAAATTGTGATCATCAAAATTATTTATTTATTTAATGGAAAAAATGATTTCAATTAAAATTGTTTTTTAAAAATATTTATCTGTATATTTAGATTTTTTTTTTAAAACATGCAAACTGTATGCGGCATCTAATGTTCAACTTGAATAACCATTTATATTTCAAAAACATAAGTAATGGTATTACCTAAAAAGTTAAAGTATATTTTCTCTATTTAGTATTCATATATTGCAAAGAGAAAATTTATAAAATATATAATTTCAAAACTCAATGATTTTAAGTATGGTATGAACAAATTTCATTTAGTTTATAGATTTGACGTATTTTTAATAGAATATCTGGTTTAAAACAGAAGTTTAACCAATACATCTGTAAAGTAAAACTGATAAATAATTCAACTTTCCATTAAGCTACCACTTAACATTTGAAGAAAACTAGAAAATTAGCAACAATCCAACAAGTATCAAACACAATGCTCAATATGGTATGTAAAAATAGGAATATTTTTTTAAGCGAATGGACTAAGTCAACTTGTTTTTAAAACAATCATACTTGGGGATCATAAAATTTATTGTTACATTTTATTTATCCCTTATAAGATCCATTTAAAAAAGCAAGGTTTTGATTTTAAAGAGTACACAAAGTTTTTTTTTATTGAATACTGTATAATTTATATAGACAAAAAATGAAAACTTACAATATTGAAAATAAAACCTGTCTGTTAATTTACATACAATAATTTAGGAAACTACATCTCAAATTGAAAATACAAATTTTTAGAATAATAAATCCTTTATTGAACAAAAACTAAAATCATTATCAGTTTTAAAACTAAAATGTAATGTATTGATAAACAATATTAAGCATTCCATTTAAAAATAAACATGGGAAATACCTTTCTAACATTATAATAAAGGTTAAAAACAGTACCAGATTTATCACATTTGTTAAAAATAAATTATTCCATTATATTAATGATACAAAAATATGATTAACTAAAATACTTATATTTTAAATATATTTTTTTTATAAAACTGTAAACGTACAATTTTGAAATATGAATTTTTTACAAAATAAATCTGCAATCTTTTAAATAGTAGTTTAAAAAATATATTTCTAAGACTGATTCAACATTTTATAAAAAGAAAGTCAAACTCTTCACATTGTATTTGTAATTCATTACATTACATTTTTTATTCTGAACTTGGTACTTCATCTTCATTGAATATTTCATTATATAATTACCATTTACTTGTAAAATCGCATTACATTACACATTTCTTAAACTCACACTTGTAACTTGTGAGTAAGCTATACATTTCAGTATAAATTTTCAAAAGTTTTTAATTAATTCTCAAATATATTGTTTCATGAGGGTGTATCAATTTTAAAATAACTGCACTCATTTAAGCAAAAAGCTCAACATAAACTTAAACTAGCATTGACGGCGAAAATTAAGAATATCGATACAATTTTTATGGCGCGAATGATTAGCCAAAGAACTCTTTGAGATTGGTACCTGTCAGTTGGGTAAATGAGGGTCTCCCAATGCATTGTGGGAACGATTTAATATTATCAAACATCACCTAATGAGGTTGAGTCACAAAATCATTATTTTAAAAAAATGGCTTTAAAATATATATTAAAATAGTTTTCTTACAATTTGAATATTTCTTTAGTTTATTAATGTAATACAGGTGACATATCAGAACCCAAAAATATATATTTAAATTCAAAATAAATATGATAAGCTGGATAATTGTGTCAAAAAATAATGGTTACAATCACAGTTGGCAACTAGTTGTTACAATAGTTTAGAAGAGAAACGTTACTCAGGAATACTAAAAATATTTGTCGAAGTCTTGAGTTCTGGCGTTGTAGAGACCTCTACAGGCACAAACACTTTGCTCATGATAATATCTTCAATCTTCTGACCAGACAGGCTAGAGGACTCCATGTCCTGGAACCTTTCTTGCAGGTTGGAATCAGATCTGGCTGCGGCACCTGAACCTCTGGCACAGTGTGTGCAGGTGACCACCTCAGAGGCGGACGACTGGCTAGGGCACTGAGACCAGCCTTGTGCGTCTTCTGTTACGGGGTCTGTGTTGGTGTCTGATGACGTGGCACCGTCAGAATGTTGGGTTTTACGTTTACACCTGTCTGCAAGATCTTGGAGCTTTTCTTTGTAAACATTGGACACAGATTTACCTAAAGGGTCTTTAGGCTGTGAGGTTTTGTGATCTGTTTCTGTTGTTTTGGTAGCACTTGAGTCGTGTAATTTCTCCGTGGTGACGTCAACACGGGTAGAAGAAAATGAACATTTTCTTTCACTGATTGATTTCTCTGTACCTGCTTTTGATTGATCTTCTTCTGTCATGGTCCCCAGTGCCGAGTCCGAGAGGGAAGGTGACTTTTTCACTGAGGTGTGACAACAGGTTTTGGTCAGTGTTGTGTAGGTGGATGTTGTGGCTGCTGTGGCCGCGGTCATCCCGGACTTGACGTCCACTTCATTCAACAACTGCAGCAGCTGCTGCTTGACCATGGGGGACTGGACAAGGTCAGTCATTTTTCTTTTGTCTTCATTGAGGACATTCTCAAGTTGACGGGTGGGTATTTTGTAGGTCATGGCCACGCATGGGCTCAGGTGAGCCTCAACCAACCAGTACGGGTTACTTGGTACATCTAATCTCTGGGTCATTCGTACCTTGAGTGGTACAAAGAGTTTTTTGATCAGATCTTCAGCATCTTTAGCAGGGACAGCACTGGAGCCTTCCTCCTGACTGGTGTGGTCATTGGAAGAATTAGACGAGGCGACTGACGACACGCCCTTCATTTTTTTGGTGGAGGCATCAGATTCCTTCAGCGAGCTGCCCGCTTCCTCGTTGCTGCGGTCATCGCTGGGGGTCAGATCACTTGAGACCTTGGAACAGTTGGACTGGGCGTCCTCCATCTCAGCCTTCTGGCCACCATCACTGCCACTGCACTCATCCCCGCTCATGGACCCATCCTTAGGACTGCTGCCACCTTTGATCAATGGTGAATTATTGGCTGCCTGGCTGCTTTCTAGAAAAACTGTTTCCATGGCAACATTGCCATCATTCTGGAAAAAATGAACATTAATAAATACATGACCCTTGATCAATAAATTCCTTCAATCCTACCACAACTACTAACAAATTTTAATTGCATCCCAGCTAATATAAAAGTACTGCCATGGATAGTTATAACACTGATCTCTTAACAAATCTCATTAACTTTAAACTAATTTTATTTGGTAAAGGACAAGTCTGTAGCCCATTAAATTTAACTTACTTCAGAAAGAGCCTACTGCATAATAGTTTAAAATAATTAAATTCTGTGTAGGAAAAGCCTGCAGTGAATTAATTTGAAACAAATTTTTAATAGCTTTATATAAGACTACAGCTGATTCGTTTTGTAAAATGCAAAATGCTGTAAAAAAAGACCTGCAACTGATTAATTAAAAAAAAAATCACTAAACAAAAAGTCTACATCTGATTAATGTAAAAAAAATAATTCAAATCAATGTAGAAGAAAAATGGCTACCTTGGTGTTCTTTCCTCCTAAAGTTATTGTCTTGTCTTCTTTGACGCCAGTGGGGGTAGGTGGGGACTTCTCATCTTCTGAGTTATTGACAGGGGTGTCGTAGCTCTCGTCATCATTATCACAAACCCCAACACTCCACACAATAGTCTCTGTAGAACCCCTTGCTCCTCCCCCTCTGCCACCCCCTCCACCTCCACCTCCGCTGTCACTGACTTGAGAGCTGAACTGTGTGAACTCAACTTCCTCTGTTTTGTCATCTACTTTATCCAGGTCATCTAGTGTTTCATCACCAGGGTAGAATAAATAATCTGCCTCTTCATCCTAGTATATAGAAATAATGATCAAATTAATATATTAGTTATTAGCATTGATCAGTAGGTGAAAATTATGTAAAAGTAAGAAAAGTAATCTATCCATATGACAATGCATAAAAAATTAAGCTTTCATTATTAGAAAATAATGAACAAAATATCCGCAAGTAATTGAATACAGTATTAAATTAAATATCACAAAATACAGAATAGTTAAATAATTGTACTCCGCACAGTAAATTAGAAGAACGGTAAAATTTTAAAAATGTAATAATGGTGCATTTAATTTTTGATATATTAAAAATGAACAATTGTTTTTAAAAAAGTATATATATATCTATATAAACATATATATATATCTATATATATCTAATATAGATACATAAGGTCAAAACACATGTGTGTATTTTAAAAACAAGTCTACATACCATAGTATCTTGACAATCTGGCAATGAGATCTCTTCCAGGAGTTGTTCTAGACATGCCAGAGCCATCTCACTCTGTTGGTTCTTCTTCAGGAACTTTTCATCAAGCTTTAGCACTGAGAAGGTTTTCTTCTGTGCCATTGTGTATCTGAAATGGACATTTGAATTAGACAGTGGCAATGAAAAGTTTTTGAGGAACTTGATAAACTTCGGCTTGAATTCTTCTTCTTTGTTCTTTCTTATAAAGTTGGACTGAATTTCCTCCAACACAATTAAATATGTGTCAACTAGTCATGTGCCACGTAGCCAGTTGACTCAGATTTCTAGATACAATTCCATAGCCTTTGTCTTACCAAGAACAAACTACAAGGCAGCAGTTGTTTGAATTTGGATTTTTCTCTCCTAGATGGGTTGCTGTCATGGGTTTGAGTTTAACAGGAATTTTTTGGATATTTTACTGAACTGAGATAGCCTTAAACTATTACTATTCTATTCTATCAAATGCACCCAAGTTATCTCACTAAATGGTAATGTCTGAAGTATTATCATTTCAGCTGGTCTTCCTGGTAATAAGATTTTATAGATACTGGCAAAAATAGGAGTTTCAGTTTCATGTTTTTCTACAGATTTTTTAAAGTTAATTTGTTCTTACAAATATGTGAGGGTGAAGTAAACATTACCTCATTTTGGTGTCAGTGTTCCACTTGACACTTCTGGTCCATGGAGGCTCAATGGAGCGTTTGTTTTGTACTCGTGTTGCTGCAGCCCCAGCAGGACTTGCCTTGTGGTCAGAATCCTAAAAATCAATGCTCATTCTTTAATTGTGATGGCTAATGTCATTAGACTAATTTAAGTTACAATCTTTTTTCGTACAATGGGACAGCATGGGTGGGGGATAGAGGGCCTGATTGCTAACCCAAAGGTCTCAAGTTCAGATCTCGGTCCAGACTAGAGTCTGCAGGATATCCTAGAGTCTACCCAGCTCTGATGGGTTCTTATTCATGTGAGAGGAAGTAAATGCAGCTGGGCATAGTGCTAACCACACCATCCCTTCATTAACAAGTTCAAGAATTGCTCAATGAATTCTCGTCTGAAGGGGGAACTTTAAGGGGAACTGAACTACTTTTTGTACAAAAACATATTTATAATAAAATCTTTAAGTTTAAGCACTGAATATTCAATGAATAACATCAACATTTAATACAATTCTATTGATACTATGAGTTTGAAATAGTTGTGTGTTAAAGCTGAATTGGATGAACATCAATCGTACCTCAAATGTTGAGCTGTCAGCCTCCAACAAATACATGATAGAGGATGTTGTATCTTCCATGGAGGAGGATGGGTTGTCAGAATCATGGTTCTTTTTATCAAATAAGTCAGTCTTTATTTTCTTGGGAGGCTGAAAGATTTGTTTAGACAGAGATTAATTACAAGTTTTACAATATACATTTTTATGTGTGTGTATATAACATTCATAACCAACATCTATAAAGTTTTTATATATTTCTTTAAAGTTACGTTTTAGAATGTTGTGTTTCTTATATCAAGTTTTTTTTTATCTTTTAAATGCAACAACTATAACTTGTCATCAATTTCATTTGAATAACTGTGAAATTCTAACTTTGGCAGTGAATAAGTTATTTTACTTTTCAAATTTATTTTAATTTTGGTCATATTTTGTGGTCAGGTCATGGTCAATATTGGTCTTTTTGAGTTCAGTGTTGCTTTTTTTGTTATGATTAAGTGTTGGTTCATAGTCAAGTTGTGGTCATGTCATGGTCAAGTTGTGGTCAAAAGTTGGTCATGTCATGATCAAGTTGTGGTCAAAAGTTGGTCATGTCATGATCAAGCTGTGGTCATGTCTTAGTCAAGCTGTGGTCATGTCTTAGTCAAGCTGTGGTCATGTCATAGTCAAGTTGTGGTCAAAAGTTGGTCATGTCATGATCAAGCTGTGGTCATGTCTTAGTCAAGCTGTGGTCATGTCATAGTCAAGTTGTGGTCAAAAGTTGGTCATGTCATGATCAAGCTGTGGTCATGTCTTAGTCAAGCTGTGGTCATGTCATAGTCAAGTTGTGGTCAAAAGTTGGTCATGTCATGATCAAGCTGTGGTCATGTCATGGTCAAAAGTTGGTCATGTTATGATTAAGTGTTGGTCATATTGTGGTCAAGTGTTGCTCATGTTTTAAGACATTTAACTTCTGCCATTTACCTGGCCAACATGAGTTTCATGATGAGCTTGAGGTTCCTGGAACATGGCTGCCCCATTGGTTCTCTTCATGAACCCACCTTGTGGTGCTGCCACTGTCTGTACCTGGACAGGTTGTAGCACAGGTCTATAGAAACCTGTCATCACCTGGGGCAACAGCGTGTAACCTAGACAGATTGATACAACTCATGTAATATATCTATGCAGTAATTCAGTGCCAATTTATTTAGTTATCTGTGGTCTTGTCTATAACTAGAAAGAGTGTTGTTTTTGTACCCTGCTGTTTACAAGGTTAAAGCCTTAAAGACAATAGGATTCTGTGTTTCTGAAACTACATAGAAGCAATATTTTTAACAATAACCATGTTCAGTTAAGTTGAACTACCGTGTATAGTTATAATAGATGTTGTGAATTATGATACCTAGGATGTCCTACTCTGTTTAAAAATCATCAAATCAGATACGTGAATGGCAATAAGTTATTCTTAAAATATAAAAATAAGCAGTTTCAATTTAACATTTAAACATATTAATCTACCTCAGTTTTCTTTACAAACATAGTTTTAGTAAATTAAAGGCTAATTTAAAAAAATATATATGTAAGAAAAATATTAAGCAGTAAAATGCTGTATTTTTTTCTTAATAGTACTTACTGGTAAAAATCCAACAATTCAATAGTAACACAACAAATACACAATATTTATCACAGAAACTGTTATGCAACAGATGACAAGCACAACACAATGAGTTGGTGGACAGTTATCTGAACTGTTAATTGAAACTTTAATCAATGGTAGTGGAATGTAGAATTTTAATCAGCTAAAAATCTTTTGCTACTATGTTATATATTACATTTTTATTCAATATATTTTTATTTTACTTTTATCAAACACTAATTTTATGGGGTTTTTTTTTTGTCTATCATGTTTAGATATCCTTCTGACTGAAAGTAAAATACTTTTAAACAAATTGTTGCATAACAGAGACTGCTAGTTTGATAAAAACCCAGTTTATTAGTGAGCCTTCAAAATGGTTTAAAATGTACTACTGATTGTAATCATCCCACTTCCTGTTACTTTTTACCATTTAGCTGATATTAAGGTATTTAATTTAAAAAAAATTGTAAGAAAAATAGGGGTCCACCAATAAAGAGGGTTTTCTTAGTGGATTAGGAGTGATTCTTCATACCAGTTTGCGGATAAAATGGCCATTGTATGTTCTGCGCAGGACTGGCAGCACGTATGTCAAAGTGGCCCATATTTGGTATCATTGGCCCAAGACTGGTGGGGATACAGGAGGTGTCAACTTGGAGGGCTGGCTGAGGTCCCTGGTTACCTGCCAGGGGATAGAGTGGGTATCCAGGTTGGTTGAGGCTACGGTCTAGGTGTAGAAGATTGGTTAGAACTAAGGGCCTTATAACACTGAATGGAGCCAAGGCAACTGGCTGGAAACCTGATAAAAGGGAACCTGATGATACAAACAAGGCACCATGTTGAGACAGAGATGAATGAACATTTTATTTAAGCAAGCCGACCAGAGAAAAATAAGAATAGAGATTGAGACAGATTTAAATGAACATTGTATTAAAATAAGCCAACCACAGAAAAAAAGGTAAATAGAAAGCTTGAGACAGAATTAAATTCTGAACATTTGGAACATTTTATTCAAACAAGCCGACCATAAAAACAAAAGAAGAGAGCTTGAGACAGATAAAAATAAACATTGTGAGAAAGTCAACCAGAGAGTAAAATAGAAGAGCCATCCATGCAAGTATTACTATGTAATTGAAAGAGAAAAATGTACAAGCATGCTTGTATGTTTTATTTTAATAAAAATGGATTAAAAAAACCATCGCAAAAAGAGGAAGCTTATGAAATAGCAACGTTGTAAAATCAAACTTTAAATGTAGAAATATACAAATGAATGCAACCACCTCAAGTTTAAATTAGATGCCGCAAAGAAATATGAGAAGCTGATATGGGTTAACTAAAGTAACTGGTTAATTTGACACAACTAAAAAAAAAGAACAAGGAAAAAATGTCAATAAATTAGTTCCAGAGATTATAAAACTATTGTTAAAGCTGTAAAGAGAGCATGAGCAATCTAATATAAATTCTCCTTTCAAGATTTGACATTTCTTGGGAAATAATGGATTAGAGGAGATAAAGGTCACCAAGGATTGTGTGAGTCATGGCACTGAAGGATTTTGTGAGTCACTGCTCTGAAGTATTGTTACAGCCAATGAGTCACATAAAGGATCAAGTGAAAAAACTGGGAGTAGGCCTACTCTGCAGCCATACATGAAAAAACTGGGAATACTCTGCAACCGTAAATGAAAAGACTGGGAATACTCTGCAACCACACATAAAAAGACTGGGAGTACTTTGCAACTGCACATGAAAAGACCAGTTCTTAACCATTGAAAAGAAGGGATTTAAGTACTTGGTCATTTTACATGATGTGATGGTGTGATCACACAGATGGATAGGGGAAGTTAAAGCTGATTTGAATGAAACATAGAGGTATTTTAATGAAACTAATACCAAAATCTCTATGTACTGCTTACTTTTTCGAAAGATTTACTACAAATGTAGTTTCCAGAATTAATCACAGTGCAATTTAAAATATAACATTAAAATACCAGGATGCTTTTTAATTGATTAGTAAAAATAAATCAGAATTAATTTTAAATAGGCTTTTAATAGCAAGCATCGGGAGGTTATTATTATTGAAACACAAAAAAAGCTTCATTAGTCAGCCAGATGGGGTGGATGTTGTAGGACTTATAATAATTAAACATATCTATAATTGTAAAATAACTTTCATTGTAAAAAACTGTTAACATTTTTGTGTCGTTTGAATTGAACTAATTGATTTATAGATATTAGTTTATAAATAAGGTAGTTTGAGGAAAATTTATTTTAAAAATTATGCAGCAAATGGAAAGTTTTATTAAATCAAGAGTTTGAGAAACTTTGACTTAAGATGTGTAAGTAAACAAGGAAAACGAGCTAATGCTTAGAAATTTTAAAAGTTGAAAATGTTTATTCCATTAATGTGGCATATTTTTTGTTGTAATAAAACACAAGCTATATTTATCCATGCACAGATTTGAAAAAACATACATACATAAAGCATTTTAATATTTTCAATTATTTTTTAACTTAAATTACAAAATAAATATAACTTTTAAAAACATAACTGAATTAATGGAAATGATTATGTTTAATAAATTTAAAGATCCTGTTTAAGAAGAACCATAAAGCACACATAAATTGTACAACAACTCCAACGCAACATGCCTGTACCTGTTGGATATGCAGTAGGAAATGGTTGATATCCCATATGTGTGTTCTGGTTCAGGAACCTGTTGTCGTACTGGTTTCCCCCCACCATCTCAGCTTGGTGGTACAAGGGCTGAGCTGAGGTGGACACAGAGGTCAGTTCAGATGATGTCACCGCTGGGAAGCTCTGCATGAAAATGTTGGAGCTGGAAAAGATTTGAGTATTGATAAAATGAGATACAGCAAGTAGTTTTTGTTATAATATCTATAAATATAAAAATTTAATAGGTATTGTAGGTGCTGGCATTACAACAATAAAATGAAAATTAACCGAACACAACACAAACTGTTTAAAAAAAAATTTGTCACAGTTGATAGAGACCATTAGAGCACAACGCTTTCAATAAAGCAGTGAGACTCAACCACTAGATGAACAATTAATTTGAGAATTTTCAGTAAGATTTTTGAAGATAGATTGTTAACTTACCTAGATCTGAAAACCCCACTCTTTGTGCATGGATGTTTAGCTAACTCCATATCATCACCCAGTTCTCTAGGTCGTGGTCGTTTCTGAACAGAAGCATTTCTTGAACCCTGTCCATTAAAAAATTATTGGTATGTTAACTGCTATAAAATGTAACTTTTTTTTGGTTTTGTAAAAGTTTAATATAATGATGAATTTTGATGCTACTTTAAACCTTTAGTTGTTCAAAACAAAACAAAAAGTTATTGATCAATTCCAACAAACAACAGAAAAAAGTTAACGATGAATTAAGTTGCTACCTTAATCCTTCTCATGTTCAACAACAAAGGCTGCTCCTCTGATATGGTCTGCAGGTAGAGCCTCTCCTGAAGCTTGGTGTGTTTCTTCAATGTCTCTTCAGTGAGCAAGTGGATGTTGTCAGTGGATTCATGGCGTGGCATGGCTTCATCACCAAATGTTGGGGGACTCAACATCTCCTCCCCATGCCCTTGTTCTGACACATGGACCTGGAACAAAGCAAGTTACAATTGTATAAGCAACAGATATATAGGTATTACATGAGCATTCTCTCTTTTGAGGGAGAAGATGCAAGTTACAACATTAACAGAAGATGTAATCACAAAACAGTAATTATTTATCTATGAACTTCATGTGAGAACATAATGGGAGTGGCAGAGCACAACACTGCTGATACACAAGACCAATGCTCAACTTAACTTAGTCTACTTAATTCTCATAGGTAATGAATTCAAGTTAGGGGAAACTATGGCAGCTGAGAAGGCTTACCACATCAGAGGTCAAATAAATAGATTTACTTGATTTGCTTAGAGATTTAAATTAGTATCTTACAATAAAGTATTTGTTTTAACTGACATGAGATTATTTTATCCCACAAACCTGGGTAGAGCTGCCACAACTTGGAGGCTTTACCACAGGGATTTCAAGTGGCATCTCCTCATCATCATTAATTGCTTCTGTAAAAAAAATTAATTTCATATTCATTTAGTCTTCAAACAGTTTAAATACAAGAGTTTTGTGCAATTTATGCAATAACTAATAATAATTAATAACACGTTTCTATTAAAAAACTAGTTATACCATCTTCACTGTCCTCTCTGGTCATCACACTGTCTTCGTCAGATACGTTGGAGAAAGATTTAGGATGGCTCATCAAGAACCTAAACACATACAAGTCAAGTATTAGCTGAAATTGGAGGTATATTCAATTTTTGTTTGTTTGCATACATGTGTAAATATAAACACAAAAAGATAATGCATGTTATACCTGAGATGGCTGGAATCTATTATTTCCATTTTCACAGGAATTCAAAAGACAATTTTAAGAGAAGTTACAAGAGAAGTCTTTCCTAAAGAGAAACACTATCACACGTCTTAGACCAGAGTCACAACTCTACGGCGACTCTTTCATTAATGGTCTTCATTCACCATGATAATTAGTAGGCACAAGCTAATTGTATGCGTGCCAAGTTTAACTAAATAATCAGTTGACCCCAGGGTATTTATCCCAGTCACATGCAGTAGGTTACAGCTATGTCTGCTTATAAACAAAGTGCTTTATGGCAATGGAATAAAGTAGGTAAAATTTGTCAAATTGCAGGTTCTTAAAAATGGTTGCTAAGCCAACTTCTAAACTTATTTATTATATTTCCTCCCATATTCCAATAACTGATAAATTAAACAGCATTAAAAGGTGCTTATCTATTGATGCTACTCTTATTGTAATAAAGCTAAATCATCATTATTTTGAAAAGTTGCTTGTAAGATCAGCAGTTCCTCTTAAAATAAATAAAGGATCATATGTGGTTCTCAAATCACAACCCATGCAAATTTTACTATACTTTTAATACCTAACAAATACATATAATAGCCATTTTTTTCTAAGTATATTTTAATTATAAGAAAAACCAAGGTTGACTAGAGTTTAATGAGATATTTGTAATTAAGCATGTCTGCCAAATTAATGACTCTGCTAATTTAAAAAAATACAAAATCAAGAATTAAAATTCATAAATAACTGTTCTTTTCATAATAATACTGCTCTAGTAATATTCTCTGTGTGAGGAGTGGGTAAAACTCAGCTCTACCCAGGTTTGTGGGATAAAATAAAGGACATCTAGGTGTGAGCAGTTAGGTTTTTCTGTTAAGTGTTCACTTCAAACTGTACGTAACCCAGTGGAAGTAAATATGAACTACTTTAACCTTTTTCCTATAATTAACTGCTGCTTCATAACTGCCAAATGTCAAAGATAATTTCAGGGCTATTAGTCAAGCGAAGTAGGGTAAAAGTTTTTCATAAGGCAATCTACATAATATCCAGCATGGTTATAAAACATTTTCTTCATTATTTCCTTTGTTTGGAATAATGAAATTAATGAATAGCAGATACTTTCAATTATTTTACAAAACAAAAAAATACTAAATGTAATTTTTTTTTAAATTTAACAACACCAAAACAATTTTTTTTATTGTTTTATAAAAAAAAAAAGCAGGCAGGACACAGCAGTAGAGTATTGTATCTAGTTTTTTTTACTGTTATCCCTAGAGGTCAGGGCTGTGATAAGGGTTAGGGTCAGAAATATAAATATGGTCATGAATATGGTTAAGGTCATGAATATGGTTAAGGTCAGAAATATGGTTAAGGTAAAAATATATATTTAAGGTCAGACCTAGAACTACAATAAGGGTAGCAATTTTAGGAAGAAAAAAAACACGATTGTATTAGCAAGTAACCTTTTAACTTAACTTAGCTATGAATAAGATAAATATAAAGAATCAACTAATTTTCTTTACCTTTTGATGTTGTGAGAGTAATTCAGCTGGTTGTAAATTGAAGATATCCCTTTATCATCAATGACAGTTGACTTACTATCAGCACTAGTAGATGATTCTCCCTGGTAAAAGCAAAAACATCATCAGTCACACAAATCATAAAATCTAATACATTGTTCTATAAGTTAGCATCACACATTTTAAAAACTAGGAAAAAGTAATAAAGATTCTAACTCAAAACTATCTTAAACAGAAGATCTTTGTATATAAGTAATGGCTATATTTGTATAGTGCAGACTGCTGAAAAACTTTTAAAAAATGTAATTAGCAGCTAATGATTAATACAATCCTCAGATGCAACTAATTAGAGAAAAATAAGGGGACAATATGTTTGAACAACCAGTATAAAAGAAAACAAACCTTAGGTTTTTCATTCATCCCAACTACTCTGACACTAGACTCTGTCTCAGCCATAACACTGTGTAGGACAGTAGCTTGTGGTACTTTAGCTGGAAAAGAAAATATATTTTACAAGCTTATTTTAGGCACAATGAATGGATGTTTGTCATTAAAAGTCAAGGTATCAAGGTGCAGATTAAATAGGTTTTTGTGTGAAGAGATTTTTACACATAAATATTAGAATGAAAAAATATACTACTAATTTTTTACATGTTAGGCATCAAATATCTACAGTATTATAAAAAAACATCAATCAACACTCATTGAAGCAACCTTTGTTTTTTTAAAACAACATTTATATCTATTATGATTTACTATTATAGCTAAGAATACTTATTTTAGTGCACATGCAAGCTTGTAATTATAAATGTTCTTAAACTTGTTTTACTTTGCTTAAAATCAGAAACTATACTCACATAATATGGTTTACAGTATAAATTTAATTTTTTTTTGTAATGGCTATTCATTTTTAAATAATTTTTTATTTATTTTTACTGGATTTAGCGAGGCATAAAATATTTTTTACCTGGCTCTTTAACGGGTTGGGCCACAACAGGTGATGGCTCTGCAAACACACCCTGGATTGGCTGGTGAGAAAAAAAAAACTAACACTAACATTTTTTCTTTTATTGTTTGTATGAAATGGTTACATATTGACAGCCACTATATATGTCATCAAAAGTAATGTAAAAACATGTTGCTTATTCTCAACATCGTGACCCCAAACAGTTACGCTAAATAGGATATCTTTTTATGACACACAGTTGTAGTATATTTACTTACGCCATTTTGATGTAACAAATTTTTATTATGAGCAAATCATCTGTATCTGATTTAGCCTAGAAAATCAAGGGACTAAACTTTTAGCAGACAAATGTAGAGATATCTTACCCTTTTTAAGACCTCCAGAATGTTCTCCTTTATTTTCCTTGCTTCAGGTGAGAGATCAATCCTGGTTGGCTTCACAGGTAAATCTTCAAACAAATCTGGTCGAGTAGGTCCTCTATAACAGAAATAAAATCTTTAAAAGATGGAAACTAACTTCAAATCTGATATATAGATTCAAGAAAGGTATGAGGATTCTTTAAATAAAGTCTCAATATGATTATTGTATTGATATAAACATTTACAGTAATATAAACATTTTGTCACACATTCCTACACAATCTTTGTATAATGCATAGACTGTTCAATGCATTCAGAAACTTACCAAAATATACAGTTGATAAAAACATTGTAAATTTTATGACTTGTTAAATTTTAAATAAAATAAGATTTTAAATTAGTGGAAATAACAAAGTTAGATAATACTGGAAAAGACAACAATAATCTGCTATCCATCTGTTTAAATACAGCTATGACTTACTTGGTAATAGTGTGTTGTCCTATGATAAACTCTAGCTGCATTGACCAGGGGTTCATAAAACTTGACCACTCAGTCTCCACTTCAACATAACACCCATTTCTTGTCCGAAGCCTGATGGCGCCACTCTTAAAGGGTTGACCCATAGACAAGATAACTGAGAAGAATGAAAGTGAAAATTTGTTGATATTATAACTTACAAGTATCTAAAATCATATTATTTCATCAGGATTTCTGTTTACATTTCAGATCATAAACAGTTTCATGTTGGTTTTAAGCCATATTGATTTAAATGATTCAATACACATATTTTACACAACATGCTTTATTTTGCAAAAGATAAGGCGTACTTATAAATATTAAAAACAAGCTAAAAATAATAATAATTTTAAATATAGGTTCAAATCTTATACTTAAAGATATATGGCTCATTTTTTCTCTATACAAATTTAAGATGATACTTTTTAGGGTATCCTGTTTATGCAGTAACAAAAAAAATGTAAACTAGTTTGAATTTTAACTTCATTTAGCACATGCAAATGAATCATAAACATAACAGGGATTTACTTTTCTTGTGAATCTCCAACAGTAGATGGAAGTCATCAGGGTGATACAGCTCAAAGATTGACATGCTATTCAGGTCTTGGGGAAGAAAGCCAAGCAGTCGAACAGCACTGAAAAAGGAATTTAGTAATATATACAAATTAGGCCTACTAAAAAAGCTAAATAACACTTGGCTGAATGTAATTACGAAAAGAATTAGGATAAACAAGATTTGTTAGGATGATGGGAGCTATTTACTTACTTTGGATGAACGTATGTGAAGTTACAGAACAATGAGTGTCTAAGGCTGAAGTTTCTTTTCTCAGGAATAACATGTCGATCTGCAAAAATTATACAAATTTAAAACTCATTTTTTGCACTTGTGTACATTATCTAAATACTAATTTATGTATTTATTTGTTGAAAAGGTGTGCAAAGAATCTAACTTGATTAATCAATTATACTTAGTTCTGTGTTTGTTGGTTTAGTGTAAGTAATCTAACCGAGTCAAATGATTCTAATTTGCCTACCAGTGTAAGCTGAGCTGAGTGGCTGGCAGTAAATGGTCAGCCATTTTTTGTGTCTGCTTCCCTCTTCATCAGATGAGTCACTGGGTTCTGGTGGTTTAGTTGTTATCATCATCATGAAGGGGCAGTAGGAGATCACATTGTGTAGAGTAAATCCATCACCCAGCTTGCGAAACCTCCTATAAAGTCATTTTAAAATCAGGTGGTTAAAAAAGTAGAAAGTTATACAGGTTTTTTTTTTTTTTTGATAAATTTATGCAACTATTAAATGAATACACACCAGATTATTTCCTTAAAAGTAACTGGGATTATTGATGGCACAAAACTAATTAGACATGTAAAATCTAGTGAGAAGTGGGCAAATAACAGGATTACGGCCTCAAAGATTATGAATTTCATGATGTTGGCTAATGTGTGTTGGATATCACTGAGTTTACTCAGCTCACATGTGTACCTGACAGTTAGTAAAGAATAAGTGAACAAAGCAAACCTTAAACAAAGTGTGCCCATGAAAAAAATAAAATAAAGTAAAGTAAATTAAATAAAAGCACAAGATCCAAAAATTACTGCTTAAAATATTTTAAATCTTGTGAAACAATATAAAGAGATGAAGGGTAAAAAGTGCTTCACATCACAAGTTGTTTTGACAAAATTATACACTATAAAATTACATGTATTAAATATGTCTGACTGTGAGAGGGGGTTATAGAGTTAGAAGATTATAGCTAATATGATAGAACAAAAGCATTACAATATTTAAAGTAGATTTTACAGTTTACAAGTTGCACATACAAAATTGATAAGAACAGTGAAACTGATACAACTGGTGTTTGTTTCAGGCTAACGAATTGGTAAAACTTGAAAATAACAATTCCATGCAGATATAACCAGAAAAAAACAACAATATTAAATGATTTTTATATGAAAAAGTTGACTTTGCAAAATAAATGCTGGAGCCATAAAGAGAAATAACCAAGAATAAGATATTAAAGGTTTATATATTACTCTCTATATTTTATTCAGTATAATCACTCAATTATTTATTTAAATTTTCCAAATCAAACAGTGCTGCATTATAGGCAGTAAGGCTTGCAAAAATAATTTAAAATCAATTTCAATTGAAAATATCAGTCTGAAAATACAAATGTGTTTTATCAAGCCGTTAACAACACAACAACTTACGTTTTGACAAAAGGTCTTCAGTGGAAAAACAATTCAAAATTAAAGAATTGTTATAAAAAACTTTGACAAATGGCGTTCAAAGGAAAAACAAATCAAAATTTAAAAAAAAAACAAAGCTCTTCTCAAATATTGGACCTTGTCAAATTAAATTAAAGAATAATTTGTATAGAAATACCTAACTGATGATTTAAACAGTCAATTAGGTGTTTGTTAATAAACTTTAAATCTTCTTCTATGCTTATTAGTGAGAACAGAAAGTGCAAGAGTGTAATAAAGTTAAGTAACAGGATAAATTAGCGAGAATTCAATTACAAAGTGACCTATTTAGTGATTTCAGAAATTGCCAGTTTTACCTAAGTTGAACACACAGTTTTGTAATTTAAAAAATAATATAAAATTTGTAATCCTTATCTACATTTAGAATAAAAACTTACAGTCAAAACGTATCTGTAGTTTTAGACTGATTTTCAAATCTCACTGCAAATTCTATAGTAACATTTTATTAATAAAAATTATAAAAATAAAATATCTAAAAACTGGCATTTAATGTTTAAGATGAAAACTTGGTGTTTTATATTTTCATTAAAACATCATGTTTTATGCAATAATACATTGTTGTGGAAAGTGAAAGCTAAACAGAAGTAAAAATACTACAAGCTAATGGTTCTTTTTACCTAATTCTGGCATAAAAGTACTTTGATCCTTCCTTGGTTCTCCCAGTGGATGAGCTGACAGCATTGTCTATAAAGAAAACATATTTAATCAAAACATATATTTTCTCCACTGATAAGTTGTATAATTAGTTTAAGCACCAGAAAGTTTCTACCTGTGTCTATAAAAATACTTTAAGTATATAACTGAAAACTAAAAATACTAAGTCTACTCTTACTATTAGAGTTAAGGCATAATTTTCACTGATGACTATGTGGGTATCTGCACTTAGAATTATTATTTTACATTATAAACAACATAGAGAACCCCACCAACAGTTACAGTCCTATAAAGGACTGAATCCTCTATCAATTGTTAGTTTAAGTGACAATAGGCTTTGCATTTCCTGAGTTACTAAATTTCAAAGATTAGTAGTTGTCTAACTTCATTACCATCCAAGTAACTCTTCAAGAAACATTATTTATTTTAACAGAATTGTGAACAACTAAAACAGAATGAAAAAAAAAAAAGTTTTTATAACAATAAATATTTGCATTTGAATCTATACAATAGCACAACATTTATGCTGGACTTATATTTGAATAGCTGTCCTCAAAAGCCTAAATTAAAAAAAAGTTGAGAATAAAGTGTGCAAGTTAAACTTACCAGATGTCTCTGTGTGTTCCTCATCACTAGAGTGTAGAGCAATGCAACTGTTAACAGTGTTTATATCCTTTTTGTTGACAAAGTCCTTCAGTAGTCTGCCTTTCCACCAATCCTAAAGGAAAATAAAACGTAAATAATTTTTTGTGTTATAATAAAATAAATATAATCAACAACAAAGCACTGATAACCACTTAAACTAAACCTCTTTCAAAACAGCATTTGAAATGTCTGCATTTATTTCCATGCAAGTTAAAAGCAAGTATGGGAGGCACATTGTCTTATACCAAGTATTTATAATGTTAAAGCTATATGTGTGACAGCAAAAAGAAATAACTCACCACAGGGTAACCCAAGTGTTCCATTAAAACTGTAGAGGCCGACTGTACCACATGGTTTTTTAATGTCACTGAGATGTACATGTTACTCTGAAATTTTAATAAAATATAAAAAATCAGTTTATTTTCAACCATTAAATTTTTTATAATAGACACACTTCGGATTGTATAATTTTTAATTCTGTGAGCTTATATTATAAAAAAATTTCCTAAAACTAAATCAAATGTTTCTAGATAATGAAAATATTCCTGCCCAATAAGCAGTCTGTTAAGCAGTTTGTTCTAAATCAGTATAATAAAGATTTACAATAGGTCTTTGACATATATACATTGAAAATAACTTAAAAGTGGAATTTGAACAAAATAGCTTCTAATCCCATTTTTAAGTTATAAGGCTAGTTATGAGCAGATATATTTTTCAACAAAATTAATTTTTTTTTTCAAAATACTTGTAGACATGTAAATCAATATTTATCTTATAGAAAATAATTCTGTGATTTAGGTAATCTTGTTTATATCACTTTTTTATAATGTATCTCTACTATACCTATATTTAAGAGTAAGTTAGATACATATAATATCTTAAATTAATATAATAAGAAATAGATATACTAAGTAGAAATGAAGCAAATATTGAACTAAACATGGTGTAAAAGTTGTCTCTCTAGGCTCTCTTACTTGTGAAAGTTTCTCTGAATCATGATCCACATAAGATCCACTGTGAGGGGGTGGAATCTTAAATTCACTCTGTCTTGTTTGTTCCTCTGTAAACAAAATAATTTCCTTACATGGGCCAGTCAGCAATCATTTGGTCAAAGTATTACAAGCTCTAAACAAAGATTTAGTAAAGAAACTTTCCATTTTATATGCCATATTAAAAAAATGTTTCTTTATATAAGAACATATTCCTCTTTAGACCTAACAATCTGTTGGGCAGATGAGGTAGAGTTCATGTTTCTTGACCTTGGCATATGAAGTGATAGTGTAGTCAGCACCATCAATAGTATTTGAGTATCTGATTAAAAAAGAGCTACAGTAAAATTAAGTTTATCTAGCCAACTAACCATTGAGTTGCCTCATGCTGTTTACAAGCTGCTCCAGGGTAGAAAGGGTATCCATTTTTCTAGCCCGCTCCTTGGGTGGTAACATTGACTTGAGAGTTTTCATAAACTCTTTGGCTCTTTCCTTTTTTTTTTCCTTAGACTGCATAGCGCTAGCCATTTCAGAGCTAAGTAATAGAGACAACAGTGCATTCAATATAAAAAAAAATTAATTATGAAATTTAATACAGAATGAAGCAAGCTATTGTGAGTGTCAGCAGGCCTATGGATTGTATTTGTAAATAGAATGGCTACAGTAGCTTTCCTTCAGTTTATAACCTTTTGATTTCTTTTGTTTTTGTTATTAACTATTTATTAGTATACAATGATCATTCAATAGGATGTCTAATCATTTTGTTTACACTGCTTAAAATTGTGTAAGTTGATCAAACATTTTATAAAGTAAGAAAATGGGTTCATTACTATTCATAATGTTGTATCTCTACAATTTTGCCGTTGAGGTTCTCTTGATATCATTGATCCCCAACCATACATCACAATAGTCAAGTTAGTGTTGTTAATGATTTTCAATATATTTTATACTTATTTTAGTGTTTGAAGACTATACAGTTAAAATACTGATCCCAAAATTATAAAATAATATTAATTTAAAGATCCTTCTGGAAGAAAAGCACAACAAATATTCTTTACTCAACTCTATTGCTTTAGTAAATTCATTTATAATGTACACATTGGAACTTTATGTCTAACATTATTGTCTGTTATTAAATTATTATGTTAATGTGACATTGTGGAAAGACTTTAATTACAGGTCAATACCAAAGACAGGTAAAGCTATTGAGTATTACATTTAATCAGTATTACAATTTTTACTTAATGTTATCAGAACAGCCTCGTAAGTTCTAGAACTTATTTTATGTTGATTAAATCGTGATTTCTAATTCTGTTTCAAATGCCACCATACCATTTGAAACCATTTAACTGACTGGGTTTAATTTGACATAATTAATAGCTGGCTTTTAATGTAATACATTGTCTAATTAGTTTAATGGGATGCCTAGTTTGCAGAGTTAAAAACTAAAATGGCTGTGGTAGTGTTGTATTTTTACAAGAGCGTCACAATAGAATCAAAGTCATTTTTCATATTTGAGTATTCTGTAATCATACATTAATCAACAATAACTGTAGTTATTGTAAATTATTTTGTCTTTTTTAAGAAAAGGACATTTTACTTGTTTATTGTTATTACGTAAAAGGTTTTTTTTATATAGAAAGATAACTGATCTATTAAAACTTTTCTTCATTTATATTAATGTAAGGGTTAGAATTATGTCAGGGGTTAGTGTCACAATGTTACAAAAACTTCTTGCTTTAATACTAATTGATATCTGAATTTTTTATATAACAAAAAAGGAAATAAAAATCTAGTTTTATCACTAGTACTCAAGTTGATAAAAAGTGTTGACTTACCTACACCCACTTGTTGATGGTGCTTCAGCGAAATCACTCTCACTGAACAGAGAGAGAGAAAGAGAGGAGCTACTGCTTGTTCTGAAACAAGAGAAAACTTGCTAGACATGTTTCATCTCAAACTTTTGTCTTACATAATGCATTTACAAAAAACAGAAAAATAGAAAAATAGAGGGACTGAAAATGTTTTTATATGTAGTGGTGTATCACAAACATGGTAGATAAATATGTTGATTATGTATCTATTGGTCTAGCCTAATAATATACAAACTACCCTTATATAAAACTATTCAATGAAAGATGGTAAAAAGCCTGATTATTAAATTGTCATCTCTTCCCGTTCATGCCAAAACACACCGGGCAAATGAAGTAGAGTTTATCTGTATGAGAGAACTGGGCACATGAAGTCAGCACTATGACCAGACACTTTGCTTTCCCCAACTTGAGATAGTTACCCATCAAAGCTGGGTGGACTCGTGGAAGTTCCACTGACCAGAACCCGGATTTGAACTTTTGGGGTAACTAGGAGACGTGGTCCCATGTTTATTAAATATTAAAAAAGAATTTCAACAGATTTAGTAGGAAAAAAAGGGAAATGTCTCATTACAATGACATGGTATTTTTTGTCATCTACCCCCCCCCCCCCCCTCAACAAAACATCTTTAAAGATTGAACCCATTAACCCACTCACACTTTGACTTGTTGCATGAATAAACAGGTGAGACTCGTAATTTGTAAAATAATTAACTGAATAAAATTAAACCAGCACCCCCAACTGAGTCTTACTGCACAAGCTGTGTTTTATATGGAAGTTATGTGTTGTCGGCTGTTGTGTTCAACGTTTTCAAGTTACGTAAGATGTTCAGAAATGAAATCACACAATTTTGATGGATTCTAAACTCCATCCTAATAATGGTTGGCACACGATGTCACAAGTAGACCCCCCCCCCACCCTCTCTCTCTTAAACGACGTTGCCACACACTCAAAAAAACTAGTATAAATGAATTCGTTATTGAATAGGTTTTATTTGTTCTTAAATAATACGACACATTTTTACAACCCCTACCCAAGCGTCAACTTAAAAAGTATTAAATACGCGGTAAGTGTGCGGTGCAAAGCCCAACCAACCACTAAACTGAGAAGTTGCATCCTATCCTTAATTTCAAATGCGACCAGTGAGAAAACTATAACGCAACATAACCTGAAATAAATAATTCACGGGCCTGCACGTGGCGGGTGAGCTTAATTCCCCCAATTTATTTGACCTTTGTGAGGTCATTCACCTTTGACTGTGTCGTGAACGGCTGACGCGTCTCCAGCAAACGGAGAAACATACAAATTACAAATGACCTTGGACGGAGTAGCAAGGTTTCTAGTTTATTCACAGTAGAAAAAGGTTCCGATGTCATTTGCATATTTCTAGGCCAGGGTTGAGTCATGCACTTATTATATAACAAAAGGGATAGGGGATGGTACGTTATTTTGTTAAACTGTTACGTCGGACTAACTGTGGTATAGAGCAATGGCATGTAACACTTTCATTTTCATTACTTTTGTTGAAAGAATATCTGCTATCGGGAATAGTAAGATGAGCTTTATAAGTTCTAGAACAACAAGCTTCTTCGTTCTTGTTTGTAGTACAGCTGATTCTAAAAAAAAGATTTATCCAGCGGTTTTTTTCCCTTCGTTATTTATTTCTTTTTAAATCCCAAACATTTTATTTTATTAGATCTAGTACTAATTAAATCACAACCTGACGTTTAGGTTGGAAGGCTCCAATAAGTGTTACACAACATCTGTGTTGCTGGTCTATGGAAATGTTACACAACAAGGGCAAAGTTTAAAGACGATGGAAATATTTAAAATTGTCTCCCTTGAGGGTGATGAACCAATCTAATAGTGTCTAAGAAACAAAACAACTTGTCACTTGGAGAAGACACTTGTTAGAAAGGAGTGAAGGGGCGGGCAGTTGATAGAAAAATTAGCTATAGCAGAATGGATACTTATCTGCGTATGACATACGCTTTTTAAAAAGCTGTAGGTAACAACTTCTACTTCCCCTCCTGCGTTGTTTGTATACTTTGATGTTACAATAGGATGTGACCAAGCAATTGAAAGATGGCCGCCAGTACAAAGTATAAAGGGAATAAAAGTGTATTAAAAAGAAATGACGTAGACCTACGTATTTCGTTAGTCTGCAAATAGAGACACGCATAGGAAGGGGAAATGCCGTGACTGTGTATAACATTACAAAACCTATTTTAAATAAAAAAGCATAGTTTAAAAAAATTCCTCTAAAATTAAATCAAGTGAAACACTTCAAGTGCTCATTACAAATGTAGGCAACGAGTTGCCAGCAATCACGAGGTCTATTTAACCGACGTCTATGTAATATACATATCCTTGATCATCCATTTATGACGTCCACATGGAGGGGGTCCGAAAAAAATCGACTAATGTGAACGCGTGTGGGATTGGTGGGGAGGGGGGTGGGGTGTTCGAGTTCACATGTTGAATTACACAGCGAAGTGCTCACATTTTAAATCAAACGTAAAACTGGTTTGTTGCTTTAAAAAGTGAAATTAAAAAAACCCATCCGATCGGTAGTTATACTTTAACTGGGGCCATCCATATCATAAGCGACGCTACGATTTTTTAAAACGATTTTACCTCCTCCACTACCCCTTCCTCAACGTCGCACATCATCACAAAAACCCAGGACTCTAAACCTTAAATGTCGCATCTCAGCCTACAAACGCTCTCAAAACTATAATTTACTGGGCTCGTCAACGTTAGGCAGGCCTATTTTATAATTTTAATGTGTAATGTAATTTTTTTTAAATAAAAAAAAATACCAAAGAGAAGCAACGGCTAAAATTCAGTTTCTAACATTACTACATAAGCGTGTCGTCACACTTTCTGAAATCCTACCCCACCACTCGGAGTGTGACGTCATTTATAGACGACCCCCCCCCCCCCCAAATAGAAATAGCACCTCTTTGGTAAGCGGTTTACGAAGTAAACAGAAGTACAGGTCATGAACCCGAGGGGGCCTTGCAACTTTTTATACGAACACGATACAATTGTATTGAAATAGTACATTTTTGTGTGGAATGGGGGGGGGGGGGGGAGAGAGGAGGAAAGAAGAGGAGCGCTAAAATCCTAAATTTTTGTGAACGCTATAAAGGGATGACCCCTTTTGATACAGTTTTGTGGGAATAAAAGTTTACTTTCGATTTGTTGCTACTAATGCTACTCTGGTTTCCTTTAATAAACTATCTTGATCTAACGCGTTATGCCATGTGGTTTAAGTGTTTCCGCTACTAGCTAGCCTCTTGCTAATTTCGTCTCTCCCAGCTCTCCCATTAGAGTTTTAAGAATGCCGGACGTGTAAACATGATGTTAAAATCAATGCTGACGAGACGATCTAGTGGCACACAGCCACGCTCATGCTGATACAGGTGGCGGGGATGTATTAGCCTATCAATCATGGGAACTGGACTAATGCCGCGTGCTACGTTAGGTCGAGGGGAGGGAGGGGGCGGTCATCTGATGAGTCGCAGTATATCGATTTAAACGTGTTGGGTTGCAGAGAAATCTCCCGTCATCTTCACTCTCATCTATTGTTCTATGGGGAAATCTGGGACTGTTTATAGTTATACGTTCTTGTAAGGGGGGGGGCTGTTTTATTTGAACAGGCTGTTCTTGTAATGGGGGTCTTTTATGTAAGGGCATGCTGTTCTTATAAAGGGGTCTGATTAGCACAGGCTTTTCTTGTAAGGGGGTATTTTATGTAAGGGCATGCTGTTCTTGTAAGAGGGTCTATTGTGTAAGACCAGGCTGTTCGTGTAAGGGGGGGGGGGGTCTGTTGTGTAAGATGGCTATTCTTACAAGAGGTCTGTTGTGTAAGAGGGTTGTTCTTGTATAGGGGTCTTTTCAGTAAGGACATGCTGTTCTTATAATGGGGTCTGTTATGTAAGGACAGACTGTTCTTGTAATGGGGACTACTGTGTACGGGCTGGCTATTCTTGCCTATAGGTCTCTTGTGTAAGGAGTTTGTTGATGTAATGGCGACTGTGGTGTGTGTATTTATACAATAACATCTGGAGGGGTTCTAAGAAAATGTGGTAGGGAAAGTACGCCAATACTTTGAGTTGGTTCACCGTTTATCTTTCACTGAAAGGTGCGCACTAAACCAATAGGTCATCTTGTGATGCGTAAACAACGATTAGCTGAGAAACAAATTGAAAACATATTATAGATCTACACACAATACCAAGACATGTGGGATAAAAGAGTAAAGTTCATCCATTTCAGAGACCTCGACATACAAGAAAAAAAAAATAGTGTGATCATCATTATATATATATATATATATATATATATATATATATATATATATATATATATATATATATATATATATCGTCCGATACATTTCTAACAATATAAAATTGGATCTAAAGTTGCCTCCGTTAATTAAACTATCAACGACAATTAATTCAGTTACATAAACAACAGGTCTTCGCCGAGTAGCTCGCACAGAACACGAACCATTAATCAGTTTAGCAAGTAAACAATACCAAACGTCAACACAGAAATCTGATGCAGATTGTATCGATTATATATTCAAACAACCTACTACGACAACTGTATTTTTCAATGGTTTAATTAATAGTATCATACATTTTAATCGGGATTACTAAATTTAGAAAGCGTGTCAACGTGTTTCGTAATAGGCAGAGAGGGCCAGAGGGGAAAAAAATCAATGAAGGCTGATACGGGTTCCATGAGGCATCATTCATACTTAGGCGACATCAGCATCGTGCGTCTTTAACAAAACGTGCCATGCTCAAGTCATTCGAACTGATCAAATTATTGACAGATGAGCAGCGGAAATGTATTCAACTTGTTAGCTGACCAACATAATAGAACACAAAACAAGAGGCTTGTGTTAGGAGAAACGATGTGAATACATACAATGTATCAGGTTATATGTACATAACTTATATTCAAAACATGGCTTATGTTCGAAAACTGCTTAGTAAGAAGGGCATTTTTTTTTTGCTGTAGGAACAAA